AGCCAATCAGATTTGCCAGATTTGTCCGTGAATCGCGGACTTCCGGTGTTGGACCAGCCCAGAGCTCTCGATCCCTGCCGCAGGCCAGAGGGATCGTGGACTCTGGGGACGAGAATGATAACATTATTATAGGACAGGGTCATGAACTGCGCATGTGCGACATTTCGTTCGAAACTTGAAAAGTTCAGGCAGAATTTCTCAAGTTTGAATTCGGCAAATTCAAAATGGCGTCCACTAGTGGAGTCAACCGTGGTGTGTAAACAAGGGATATTTGACTGGGAGAAAGCTGTCTTAAAGGGATAATTTGGAAGGGGAACTATTCCGTAGTTGTTTTGGTGACCGCCTGTTGGGGTGCTTCCACGCAGCCTGAAATGCTAAGTCTTGGTCAGTTGAGGTACTCCGCAAATCTTGACCTCCTTGTTACAATTGTCTCAGGGCCTGTGCTCACTTAGCTTTTAGACGCATTGAACGAAGATTTCTGTGGAGATATGCTGGAGAAAACAATTGAAAAACAACGCATGATTTGGGACGGTTAACAGGCAATTTGACGGTTATTTCAGTGAAATATATGGGGCATGATTTCTTTGCTCTTTATCGCATCGTGGCTTTAAAATCGTAACGTAGTGCCAAATCTGCATTCACTTAGCTTTCAATTGTTGTGTTTATGTTAAGATGTACTGGAGAAAAGAAAATATTTACACGATACAGTAAGCATTGTGAAGACACATGCATCGTGTTACAATTCGACAGTAACTAGAGTGAAATACGGCATGATTTTTTCACATACATTAATCGAAAATATAGCGTGAAAAAGTGGGAAATTAGCCAGCAAAAAGATACAAATTCTGCAATGTTGTCTAAAAAAAACTGGGAAAAACGAAGAATATTCGGTCAAAAATATGAAATTTGGTTAAACCTCCATGCGCAAGTGCCGTTTCTATGGCAACGCCAAATGTCCTGAAAGCACGGTTGACACGTCCAAATCTTGGAGAGGGTTAAGTGAGCAGCTACGGAAAGTTTCAGCCTCCCAGAACACATCCTCTTCTCAAAACGCTAATAAAACTTGCGATAGGGGAACCATCAGATCTCCCCCTTACATCCGAGGGACGGGAGCTATTGTTTAAACAGGAAGCTTATACTCAACGTCACTGCGCATTTCTCGAAATATACAAAAGGAAATTAAATTAAGTGGAATCAATAAACGCGGCCACTTTTGTGGTCAGTAAGTTTACCCAAGACCTGTGAACTATTCGTTGTTTATTACTTGCTCGTGGCCTCCTGCTGGCAATTAGGGAGGAAACCATAACGAGGTTAAGGAAATTTGCATTCCTCATAAAAATTAAATTCAAAATGAGTCAAAATGATAGACAACGCTTCATGATCGCAGATGATTTCCTTTTTCTTCTTCATAAGGCAGCAGACAATTCAAATTGGCTGTTTTT